GGCCTGCAACTCCCAGAAATCCCAGCCAGTTTACCAGCTGTTAGGCTTCCTGGGAGTTGAAGGCCAAAACATCTGGGGATCCACAGGTTGAGAACCACTGAGGAGAGTACTGAGGACTCAAACTATGATGGATCTGGACCAAAATGGGCACAGATACTCAATATGGCTAAATGTGAACACTGGTGGAGTTTGGGGAAAATAGACCTTGACATTTAGGAGTTGTAGTTGCTAGGATTTATAGTTCACCTATATGGCAACCAACCTCCTCCCAGTAGACTCATATCAAGAAAAGCGCTTTATGAGAACTACCACTCCTCTTGGCGTCCTCCCAGCAACAGCAAGGTTATCCCTCTGGGCAGCTAAACCAGGAAATCCCAACTGGACGACCCCCACAAGGGAGGGTCTTCCTCCAGGGGCAAACCATGAATGGGCAACTTGGAAGTCCCTGAATAGACTCAGAAGCGGAGTGGGCAGATCAAAAGACAACCTGGCAAAATGGCACTACCTAAAAGAATCCCATACCTTATGTGACTGTGGAGTGGAACAGACAACTCTGCATCTGTATGCTTGTCCATTGTGCCCTGCCTCATGTATAGAGGCAGGGCACAATTGTACAGGCTACAGACAATGCCGTTGCTGTTCCCCTTTTTTGGTCAAAAGATATTTAGCCACCTGCACACCTTCTATTTTATCAGTGTTTTACTAATTTATGTAATGCTTTTGATATGAAATAAATAAATAAATAGTTCACCTACAATCAAAGGACATTCTGAACCCCACCAATGATGGAATTGGGCCAAACTTCCCACACAGAACCCCCATGCCTTGGAGGGACTAGCTGGGTGAGTCTCTCTCCAACCTCGCATGCTCTCCCTTGCTCGGCACATGCGCACCATGCTGCTATGTGCCGAGCATGCCTGTTCTCCCCTCCCTGCTTGGAGTCTCAGAAACAGCCCTCCCCTTGACTGAGAGGCTGACTGAGAGGCTGGCCAGTCATAGCAGAGGAGGACTTTTGGTGGGAGGATTCCCCAACTGTTTCCAAAAAGGAAAAGAAGGATAGGTGGAGAGGTCTTCAGCCTTCTCTGCCAAAGGGATATCGAAGACCATCAGAAATACAGTATATTCTGGCCTATAAGACTACTTTTTAACCCAAGAAAATCTTCTCAAAAGTCAGGGGTCGTCTTATACGCGGGTGTAGTCTTATGCATGGGAGTTGTCTTAACTCTATATTTTAACTGGAAAAGTTGGGGGTCGTCTTATACGCCAAGTCGTCTTATATGCCGGAATATACGGTATATGTTTTCTGATGGTCTTTGGCAACCCCTCTGAAACCCGCTTGCGACCCCCTCAGGGGTCCTGACTCCCAGGTTGAGAAACACTGCTCTACACGTTGGAAAGAGAGAGAAGCTGCAATCAGCTAAAATGAGAATACCCTAAACAACTTGGAGGAGTCAGAAACACAGTGAGGGAAGACATTACCAAACTTTTTCCGCATCTGTCCTGGTTGTGATGATTATTTATTAAAGCTCTAATGAGTAATCTTATAGATCAGATCAACATCTATCCAGTTCTGCATGTTTTGAAAAACATCTTCATCTAGAAGATCTCAGGCAGCTTGATCCACCAGTGGGTCACCAGAACACCAGCATTAATGTGTCGCACACTTTCTTTCCCATTCCTTTGAATAGTCTTCAAAAAGCGATTGTCTGTTCTGTTACTGAACTGACAGCTTAGTCTTCCTGCTGATGTTGTTTTCTAAACTGAATGTAAATATATCATTCTACATTTCAAAGGACATTGCTTCTTTAGTTCTGTCCTAGGGATAACCTGGGGTACTTCCAGATGGAAAGCTCCTTGTACTACAACAATAAATGCATTGCTTGGCTTACCAGGTGATGCCATTGCGGCGGGGGGGGGGGCGCCTCTCCCGCCGGCCATGAGGTCACAGGGGACTTCTTCCCAGAAGCCCCCTGTGCGGGGGAAGTTTTCCCGCCGGTTGGCCAGCTGGCCAACCAGCAGTCAGACCTGCACGGCCAGCTGATTGGCCAGGGCCGGCCTCCTCCTTCTGTCCGGCAGCCCTTATAGGGCTGCCCAGCGCACGTGCAGGCACTATGCCCGATTCAACTTGCCATCCCACCCTCCCTGCATGCTCATGTTGTTTGGTTACTGTTAACACTGTTTTGGTTTTGTTATCCCGTCACAACTCTCCTTGGTGTGTGGCATGGGATCTGGATCTGGTTTCTTTCCCCCACCCAGTCATGGGGGGACAGGACGTCTGGTGGTTCCTGAGTAACTCAGCCCGGCATTGTGCTGGTGGCACCCTGATGTGTGTAGCGGTATCGGTCAGCAGCGGGCTGACCGATCTTGATCTAGAACCAATGCCTGGCTGCCAACCTTCCAGTTCCTGTAATCAATAAATGAGTTGTGGCCATTTTCTTCCCATTTCAGTGTGTGCGTGTCTTTTCTGGTTGTTGGCGGGAGCCGTGTCGCCCATCCACACGCAACGTCTTTTTCTGCTTTAAACTTCCCCCAGAATGGCAGTGGGCTTTCTCCATACAAAGTGGAATGTAATACTTTTGGGCATGCACAGCAGCTCTGTTCCGCCTGCACCAGTGATAGCTCCCAGCTTCCATATCTGTGGCAGTGAACCCACTCTGGGGATTAGCGTAAACTTTAAAGAGTTATCCAAGGTGCTAAACCTTTTTGGGAATCAAGCTCAGCATGTGGATTATTCCTTTAACATTTGAACTAAAAATCCAGAGCATGTTTCAGCACCTCAGGCACACCAAAGTTAGTTTAAATGGGTGTCAAGCTCTTTGAAAAATGGGATTTTAAGGCAGCACCTCGGAAGCAGCTGCCAGAGTCTTAGCAGAATGGGGCATCCATCTTGCAGCCATTGGGGGCCCAGCCAAATAGGGCCTATCTGGGCATGAAAATATGCAGCAGAGTTATAGGAGACATACAAAGCAGAAGCTAAAGAGAAATCCTCCCTCTAGGGCGGAACGTCCTTGCTGGTGGAATTAAGGAAAACCTGTTTCATGGTCCTCTGTAGCACAACCCAACCATGAAATCACTGCAAACAGCAGCTTTCAGAAGAGGTTAAGAAGAGACTGGAAAGTGTTTCCACCTTTGATCCTAGCTTTTCTTCTTCTCTGATGTTAGCAATAGGAAGCAAACCTATGCATGCTTGGAAGAAAGTACAAATGAACTCAGGCATCTTGGACAGAATACAGACCTCTATTATTGGATACAAGCAAGTTAGCGGAAAACAGCTCCTGTTTAATATATATATATATATATAGATACAGACAGATAGAGAGATGCATACACACACTACGAGAGAGGCAGAGAGAGACTCCTTCTCTGTCTGTCACATGTGTGTATGCATCTCTCTCTCTCTCTCTCAATATATATATATATATCCATTTACATTAGAAAGGGGGAAATTAACATACATATTAAACTGCTATTTAGATTTAAGTTAAAAACCTGCACTAAAACATTCCATTCCATGACAGAACTGAGAAATGCCTTTGATGATTTTACTTCCCACCTCTTTTTATTCCTGTGAAGGGAACAACTGCATGAATTTTTGGAAAATTCAATTTTTCTGTGCATCTCCAACAAAACCCCCTTTCTTGCTTTGCCTTTCTGTATCCCTTATCATCTCACGCCCTTCTATAGCATTCTCTTTGTTTAGTTAACTTATTTTCACATGTTGTTGTTGTTGTTCATTCTTCCTGTGGTTCCACCATGATGACATGATGGCAACAGTCGTGGACAGCAATGGATTCCAAACTGACCCATTTAAGGTGGAATCAGGTGTCAAACAGGGATGTGTTATTGCCCCAACCTTATTTTCTATCTTCATCACTATGATACTTCATCTTGTTGATGGGAAGCTTTCCACCAGAGTGGAAATCATCTATCGGACTCTCAGCATTTAATATAAGTTAAAAAATAAATTAACCTGTCACTTTATATTAGAAAACATCTAATGCAGTTGATAACTTAACAGAGTTTAATTAGTTACCATCACTAGTTTACTTTTTGTCAAGCTGCTGTTAAAATTCAAGATTGTTTCCCTGGTGGCTAAATTTCAACTGCCAAGCTGCTTTTTCTCTGCCCTCCACTAAGGCAGGCGGGGAATATTCAATAGTTACTAGCTGCTAGCTATTAAAAACAGCAGCAATGTAGATAAGACATCTTCTGATCATCAGCACCCATTAGACCAGGGGTCCTCAAACTAAGGGCCGGGGGCCTGATAAGGCCCTCCAAGGTAATTTATCCGGCCCTCACTCAGGATCAACCTAAGTCTGAAACAACCTGAAAGCACACAACAACAACAACAAAAATCCTATCTCATCAGTCAAAAGCAGGCCCACACTTCCCATTGAAATACTAATAAGTTTATATTTGTTAAAATTGCTCTTCATTTTAATTATTGTATTGTTTTAAAGTGTTTTTGCACTACAAATAAGATATGTGTAGTGTGCATAGGAATTCATTCATTTTTTTTCCAAATTATAACCTGGCCCTCCAACAGTTTGAGGGACTGTGACCTGGCCCTCTGTTTAAAAAGTTTGAGAACCCCTGCATTACAGAAACATCTTTCTTATAAACTGTAGAAATCACAAAAGAGGACACAACAATAAAATAACACACACCCTAAAAACTAGATTTTAGAAGTGTGTGTTTTTAAACAATCAAATAAGTAGCCATACATAGATTTGAATTCAGTTATCATATTTTTCTATTTGAAAATAATAATAATAATAATAATAATAATAATAATACTTTTTTAATACCCCGCCACCATCTCCCCAAGGGGATTTGAGGCGGCTTACATGAGGCCAAGCCCAACAACATCAGTAAAACAACAAAGCAATAAGCAAATAAAACAATACAATTAATACAACTCACATATAGGCAATAACACACAAAAATTTTAAAAGATCAACAAGAAAAAAATGCTCATGCCTCTTTAAAGAAAGGTTTACCTGTGAGSGTGACTCTGGTTGTGACACCTGGACTCCGRGGCACCAAGACRTCATGGTARTGCTCGCCTGCCAGGGTGCTGTACACCACRTTGAAGGTRTTCACCTCTGCCTCACTGTTATCCCATTCWAGTTCCAGGCYGTCTGACATCCGAGAGAGTACATGCAAGTTCTTGGGGGCATCGATTTCTYGGTTTGAAAAAAAAAAAAAGGGAAACAGTGGTCTTGCTTCTCTTTCMCTCCTCTTTATAYCCAKAATCRARATACTRCRTAATTCTTCCCAAGTGTAACATACRGGTAAGTATAGCTGATTGTATTGTTGAATGCTTAGTAAAATGATGAAAAAAATGCTCMGCGAGTGGGTAAGCCACTCTAGTGCTATCATCTCCTCTGCAACTCRAGGCAGAGAACGTAAATCAGTAATTCTTGCAGTGAGCCAAGTTACTTTGTTCATTAACTAATACTAATGATAACRCCTTATCATTTATGTAATGCATTAAAGCATGCAAAGCATTTCATGGTCTTTACCTAATTAGAATTTAGGGAACATTGTTCAGTGAGATGTCATATATATATATATATATATATATATATATATATATATATATTCAGGTTTGAGATGATAACAAATCTGTCGTATTCCCCCATAATTTTTGAATGGTTAATTGCTTTGAAATTGAACCCAGTGATGGAAATCCAAGTAATTAGATTACTTGAAGCATATTTGACTCATATTTAAAGGATACAATGCACAAGTGCCTAAATGTAATTTTAAATAGGTCTTCATGTGACGTTCCCCTGCATTGAGCCAGAACATTGGGCCATCCACTAACAGACAGTCTGCTCTCCCCAATAGGAAGAGCTTCAGGAACGGAAATGCCAGAAACACAGCTCAATGGTGTAACATTAGAAAATGTTGATCATTTCCGCTACCTTGGCAGCCACCTCTCCACAAAAGTCAACATTGACTCTGAAATACAACACTGCCTGAGCTCTGTGAGTGCAGCTTTTTTACTGAATGAAGCAGAAAGTGTTTGAGGACTGGGACATCCGTAGGGATACCAAGGTATTTGTTTGTAAAGCTATTTTACTCCCAACCCTGCTATAGGTCTCCGAGACGTAGACTGTCTACAGACGTCACATGCAACTCCTGAAACGATTCCATCAGTACTGCCTCTGGAAAATCCTGCAAATCTCTTGGGAAGATAAGAGGACAAATGTCAGCATGCTGGAAGAAGCAAAGACCACCAGCACTGAAGCGATAGTCCTCCACCATCAACTCCTCCACATTGTCCAGACGCCCAACCACCATCTCCCAAAGCAGTTGCTCTACTCTGAACACAAGAATGGAAAACGAAATGTTGGTGGGCAGGAAAAGAGATTTAAAGATGGGCTCAAAGCCTTAAAAACTCTGGCATAAACACTGAGAACTGGGAAGCCCTGGCCCTTGAATCCTCCAGCTGGAGGTCAGCTGTGACCAGCTGTGCTGTAGAATTTGAAGAGGCACAAATGGAGAGCGAAAGAGAGAAACGTGCCAAGAGGAAGGTGCGTCAAGCCAACCCCGACCAGGAACGCCTTCCACCTGGAAACCAATGCCCTCACTGTGGGAGAAGATGCAGATCAAGAATAGGGCTCCACAGTCACCTACGGACCCACCGCCAGTACACCGATCTTGGAAGACAATCCTACTCGGACAATGAGGGATCGCCTAAGTAAGTAAGTATTATGACATGAATTGAATGTCTGAGGAAATGAAACATCAGATTCCACATCCAAATGGACACTATGTCAAAAAAGCTACAGTCATGAAGAGGTTGCATTTGAATTGCATTATTTCTCAGTAGTGTACAATTTCACTACAGAAGTAGCCAGACATCTCTAATTGGGATCTCAGTAGATGGCATTCAGGGTCACTGACACTGCATGCTTCTATGCACAACAGAAGTGTACTGCCAACAGAGGGAAGAAAGAGAGAAAGAACCAAAAGCAAAAGCAAAAAGGGAGATGAAATAAAGCACAGAAGACAAAGAGTTGGATCCATATTTAAGGTGCAATTCTATACAACTTATTTGACAGTAAAACCCATTAAATAGTGGGACATACATTTGAGCATACCCATTTAAAATTGTGGTACAAATTAGCTTCACTTATTTTCCACTTGTTTATTTCGTATCAAAAGCATTGCACAAATTAGTATAAAACTGATAAATATAGAAGGAACGCAAGTGGCTAAATATCTTTTGACCAAAAAAGGGTAACAGCAATGGCATTGTCTGTAGACTTCAACAATTCTTCCTCTGTACATGAGGCAGGGCATAATGGACAAGCATACAGATGCGGAGTTGTCTGTTCTGCTCCACAGTCACATAAGGTGTGGGATTTTTTTTAGGTAGTGCCATTTTGCCAGGTTGTCTTTTGTTCTGCTCGCTCCACTTCTGAGTCTGTTCAGGGAGTTCCAAGTTGCCGATTCTTGGTTTGCCCCTGGAGGAAGACCCTCGTGGGGAACCATCCAGATGGGATTTCCTGGTCTAGTTGCCCAGAGGGATACCTTGCTGTTGCTGGGGGGACGCCAAGAGGGGTGGTAGTTCTCTTAAAGCTTTTCCTTGATTTGAGTCTGCTGGGAGGAGGCTGGTAGACATGTAGTTGATGGCTTTCACAGTGTTCAACCTTATTTCTCTCACATTTAGCAGCAACTTCCTGTCGCACATCGGGGGGGGGGGGGAATGCCAGCTAGCTTGTAGAGTTTATCAACAGGTGTAGGTTTAAGACATCCTGTGATTATTCTGCATGTTTCATTCAATGCTATGTTCACCTGCTTTGCATGGGCAGACCTATGCCAAACAGGGCAGGCATAGGGTTGTTGTAGGTTTTTTCGGGCTATATGGCCATGTTCTAGAGGTATTCTCTCCTGACGTTTCACCTACATCTATGGCAAGCACCCTCAGAGGTTGTGAGGTCTGTTGGAACTAGGGCAGGCATACTCGGCAGTTGAGTAAGACAAGGCTAGGGCTGATGTTCTTACTAATTTTGGGTCTGCACCCCATGTGCTGCCAGTAAGTTTCCACAGGATGTTATTGTGTGCAGCTACTTTGTGCTTGGTGTTCAAGCAGTGTTTCCTATATGCTAGTGTTCAATCTAAGGTGACACCGAGATATTTAGGATGGAAACAATGTTCAAGTTCTTGACCTTCCCAGGTGACTTTCAATTTTCTGTTGGCTTCATGGTTGTGTAGGTGGAAATCACACACTTGTGTCTTGGCAGGGTTAGGCTTCAGGTGGTTATCTTTGAAGTAGCTTGAGAGATCTTTCAAGGCATTAGTAAGTTGGATTTCAACTGTTTCAAAGTATTTTGCTTGTGTTGTTAGGCCAAGGTCATCAGCATATATAAACCGCTTTGAGTCCCCCTCGGGGTGAGAAAAGCAGTATACAAATACTGTAAATAATAAAATAAATAAATATACAGCTCTTTGTGAGTGGTGGTTGTGGCTGATCATTAGTAAAGATATTAAACAAGGTCGGTGCAAGAACGTTGCCTTGGGGTAAACCATTCTTTTGCCTCCTCCATCTACGTTTCCTGCCTTGAAACTCCACATAGAAGCTACGGTTTTCTAGGAGAGTCTGGATAGTTTTTGTAAAATCATAGTCTTGGGTAATATGGTAGACTTTCTGCAGCATTTTCCTATGTTGCACCATGTCATAGGCTGCTGTAAGGTCGACAAAAACTGTTCCAGTAATGTAATCTTTCTCATATCCTTCCTCGATTTTCCACTGAAATCAATGAGATTAAAATCATGACTAACTTGTCCCATTGATTTGCAATGGGACTAATTAGTTTGGCCAACCTGCAGTACTGCCCAATAGATCAAGTTAGAAGTACTCCATAGGGCTGATTATGATGTAGTTATTTCAATAAGGCAGTGTAGGTTTCCTTGAAAATAGCTGAATCAGAGTCAGTCTTGGGAAAAAATCTCAACTTGATGCATTGGCCGTGATATTGCCCTTTGTTTTGAGGTCATCTTTTTAACTATGATACAGTGCACTCCCGCCACAGCAATTCTGTAAGAATTGTATTTTATTTTTTAAAACTAACAGCCTTATTCTGTAAAAAACAAGAATGACATACAATAGTTTGGCTGCTTTATTTACTTTTTTATTATAACATTTTATCAAAGTAAGTCAGCAATGAAAGACTCAGCAAATCAATAAGTGCAACCCCCCTACTCTTAAGTACAGTCAGCAAGATATTATCATACAGATAACTGAAAGCCGTAGTATCCATCTGTAATCTTTATGACAGGCAATATCTAAGTCATAAAACAGTTCCAAAATCTGCTTCCTACTTTCCCCTTTATGCAACTGTAAATTAAACCTCTTAACTGTCTATAGGGTTTGACGTATTTAAATTTCCCGAAGCACCCATATGCAATAATAGAATGCAAAGTGCCTGTGCTGCTTCTTGGAGTCTAAACATCTCTCTCTTCTTCTCTCAACGCAAAGTATGGAAAACGGTGTGTTCCCTCTATCTAATATCTATTCTCTCCTTATGGGCACCTTATGGATTTGATTATCCTTATTTTATTTAGGAAATAGATACATGTTCTTAATAAGCATGCTTCAGGTGATACACTCCAATAGACAAGGAGATGCGTGCGAGAATAATTATTCAGCAGGCACAGAAGCACAACAAAAACAACAAAATTTATTATGGTCCAAAGACCCTTAATTCCGTAGATGCCTGAATCTGATCCAAAATATTGGTGCAGTTATTTGATGTATCTCATGGGTGAACAACAAGTGGTCGACAGATCAGACATTGCATCTCTACACATGTTTGTTGTCCCTGCCCACTGAACTGTACCAGTGTGACAGTAAATGAAGGAAAGTGCATCAATGAACTTCTGGAAGGTTAACTGCACTGTATAATCCTTCAAGAAACACAACTGCATTCGAAAATAAAGTGTGGAGTTGCTGCATGCCTTTTTTAAAAAAACCACAAAATCATATTTTTCCTCCAAGCCAGCAGTAGGAAAAAATCAGTCCAATCTGTTGCACTGGCAGATTTTGGTAGTGCGTAGTAAGGGCAAGGGTGCAGCCTACGAAAAAATTATGAATGATTATGAACCAATAACAATGGCGAAACTTGTAAAGGCATTTCAAGAGATGAAAATAGGAAAAGCACTGTGTCCTGATGGATTGATGACACAATACTATAAGTCAATACTATACTATACTATAAGTCAAACTATAAATCAAATGCTGATGACAACATTGTCTGTGCGCATTCAGAAGAAGACCTACAAGTCACTCTAGACACCTTCGCAGAAGCATACAAGAAGCTCGGCCTGTCATTGAACATCAAGAAAACCAAAGTGTTCTTCCAGCGGTCACCAGCCAATCCCTTTCCAATGCCAGAAATACAGCTCAATGGTATAACATTAGAAAAWGTTGACCATTTCCGCTARCTTGGCAGCCATCTCTCCACAAAAGTCAACATTGACACTGAAATACAACACCGCCTGAGCTCTGCGAGTGCAGCCTTTTTCCAAATGAAGCAGAGAGTGTTTGAGGGCCAGGACATCCATAAGGATACCAAGGTGCTTGTTTAGAAAGCTATTGTCCTCCCAACCCCGCTATATGCCTCRGAGACGTGGATTAACTACAGACATCACATGCAACTCCTAGAATGATTCCATCACTGTTGCCTCCGAAAAATCCTGCAAATCTGTTGGGTAGACAAGCGGACAAATGTCAGCATGCTGGAAGAAGCAAAGACCACTAGCATTGAAGCYATGGTCCTCCACCATCAACTCCACTGGARGGGCCATGTTGTCCGGATGCCTGACCACCGTCTCCCAAAGCAGTTGCTCTARTCCAAACTCAAGAATGGAAAACGGAATGTTAGTGGGCAGGAAAAGAGATTTAAAGATGGGCTCAAAGTCAATCTTAAAAACTCTGGCATAGGCACTGAGAACTGGGAAGCCCTGGCCCTTGAGTGCTCCAGCTGGAGGTCAGATGTAGCCAGCAGTGCTGTAGAATTTGAAAAGGCATGAATGGAGGGCGAAAGAGAGAAACGTGCCAAGAGGAAGCTGCATCAAGGCAACCCCAATCGGGATTGCCTTCCACCTGGAAACTAATGCCCTCACTACGGGAGAACATGCAGATCAAGAATAGGGCTCCACAGTGATCTACGTACCCACCGCCAGTACACTGATCTTGGAAGACAATCCTACTCGGACAACGAGGGATCGCCTAAGTAAGTAAGTAATAAGTCAATAGAACAGTGGTTCTCAACTTTTCTAACACCGGGACCCCTAAATATGGTTCCGCATGTTGTGGTGACCCCCAACCTCGCCTGCCTCGCGCTCTTGGATGGCGAGAGCGCGAGGCAAGTGAGGCAGGCTTTGCGCGAGGCCAGGCTTCGTGCGGAGGACCCCTCGCCTGCCCCACGCCCTTGCTGAATGCCTAGAGTGCGAGGCAGGCAAGGCAGGCTTTGCACGAGGCCAGGCCTCGCGCAAAGGCATCCTCACCTGGCCCACGCCCTTGGGGCGGGGCCAATGGAGGTGGCGTCACGACCCCTCCAAAATGGCCAGACGACCCCCCTGGGGGTCGCGACCCCCAGGTTGACAACCAGTGCAATAAAAGGTCATGTATATTTCTAATGCAAGCATCCTCAAATTCCAGCCCTCCAGCTGTTTTGGCCTCTAACTCCCAGAAGCCCATGCCAGCTTGTTCAATGGTCAAGAATTCTGGGAGTTGGAGGCACAAACAGCCGGAGGGTCACACTTTGAGGATGCCTAATCTACGGCAAATGATGAATGGCACACTAAGGAATAAAATAAAATACCAGATTTTTGGAAACAGGCAAATGTAAATTTAATTCCTAAGGAAGGCTGTGTTACTGAGGATGCAATATATATATACAGGCCTACATCTTTGTTGAATAATAAATATAACATTTTTGCTGCAATTTTAGCAAAGAGATTAAAAAAGTTTTAAAGGTTTTTAAAACACGATAACCAAGCAAGATTTTTTTTTTTAACCAAAGAAACATTTAAGTGACAATGCCAGGTGTATCCTGGACATTTTAGAATATTATGACACTCACAATGAAAAACAGGTTGCTCTGATATGCTGGATGATCAACTAGAAAAGAAACATGGAATATTATTACTATAGATATGATTACTGTGCTTAGAGATGGAAAGAACCAGCTGTCTCAATGTGAGAAGAATGGCAGACAAAGGTTTGTGAATAAGCTGAGATGGACAAACTGACAGTGCTGATCAAGGAGAAATCCTTTAAGAAAAACTGGGATTTGTTTATACCTTTTTTACAGCAAAGATTGGTTTACCAAAAGTAGATGGGTGGATAATAAAGGTTTCCCCATGACATTAAGTCCAGTCGTGTCTGACTCTGGAGGGTGGTGCTCATCTCCATTTCTAAGCCAAAGAAGTGGTGTTGTCCATAGACACCTCCAAGGTCATGTGGTCAGCATGACTGCATGGAGTGCCATTATCATCCTGCCAAAGCAGTACCTATTGATCTACCCACATTTGCATGTTTTCGATCTGCTAGGTTGGCAGAAGCTGGGGCTAACAGAGGGAGCTCACCCCACTCCCCATATCTGAACCACCGATCTTTTGGTCAGCAAGTTCAGCAGCTCAGCGGTTTAGCCTGCTGTGCTACCGGGGGCTCCGATTGGTGGATACATAATGATGTTTAAAGGAAGCAGAAAATAAGAAATCAAAATCAACAAACACCGAGTATGAGGCTTATAAATTACTAGTTATGTGTTTAGAACATGTTCAATAATGTGGATTTGTTTTCATTAGGGTGATTGCCCTAGATATAGTTGTGTTATTTATTGCAGTTTAGTTTTCTATATCATGAAAAATTGATTTCTTGGCATTATTCCTGTTTTCTCTAATTTTTTTCTTTCTGTAATTCTTTTTCTGCATTTTTGTGTCTCAGTACTTTTGAATAAAAATCAATATGTATAAAGTTGTTATGGACTTTCCCGCTGTTAGGCATCTTCATATGCAAGATATTGGTGTATTTATGCACACTTTTATCTTGGACTTACCTGTTACAAAGTGGGCGAATACAGCTGTACTTTCATTGGTACCCCGGACAGCAGCAATAGAGACTTCATATTTTGAGCCAGGTCGCAGGGCCTGCATGGAATACTGACTCAGGGGAGGCTGGAGCCGGAAGGTGGTCTTTCCCCCTTCTCCATTCTCTAGGCCGTACTTCAGAAGGATGTGGTCAACTTTGGCCCGAGGTGGAGTCCATTCAACAAAGGCCACTGTATCTGAGACATCTCGCACCAATATCTGGGTCGGCCCATCAATGACTAAACATGATAGATCCATAAAGAAATGGAGATGAAAGGAGAGAAGGAAATTACAAGAGAAACAGACACATATGAAGAATGGCTTTAGTGGGGGTGAAATCTTCACTACAGATGTGGGGGGAAAATCACTTTTTCAAGGTTTCCTGTTTTTTTTTGTCTCATTTTTAATATCATGGAAATTACACCAAAGATGGGTCGCCTGTGGTATCTGGACTACCTGTAGCTTTCCAGACCATTTTTGATGCCTTTAGGTCTAGGGCAGTGGTTCTCAACCTGGGGCCCCCAGATTTGTTTGGCCTTCAACTCCCAGAAATCCCAACAGCTGGTAAACTGGCTGGGATTTCTGGGAGTTGTAGGCCAAAACATCTGGGGACCCCAGGTTGAGAACCACTGGTCTAGGGCATTCCTGACACCCTACTGATGCTTTGACCTCTTTACACGCTATGGGGTAGGAATAAGGGAAATGACTAGGTAAAGGTAAAGGTAGTCCCCTGACATTAAGTCCAGTCATGTCTGACTCTGGGGTGTGGTGCTCATCTCCATTTCTAAGCCGAAGAGCCAGCGTTGTCCGTAGACACCTCCAAGGTCATGTGGCCGGCATGACTGCATGGAGCGCCGTTACCTTCCCGCCGGAGCGGTACTTATTGATCTACTCACATTTGCATGTTTTCAAACTACTAGGTTGGCAGAAGCTAGAGCTGACAGCGGAAGCTCACGCCGCTCCCCGGAATCGAACCTGCGACCTTTCGATCAACAAGCTCAGCAGCTCAGTGCTTTAACCCACTGCGGGAAATGACTAATGGGCTGCAAAATGCAACATTTTATTTTCACCAGGGCATCCTTGTATGTGTGGGAGGAAAAATTTATCAGATTCTGACTCAAGGTCACACTTTAGTTTTCACTGTTTGCATACTTCCCCCTCTTTCTTGGATTTTATATGACCAACTGGCCCAACCTGGTTAGGACAGGTTCTTTTAGGCGTAAAATGCCTCTCGGGTTGAGCATGCCAAAATTGCTTGCTTTACTACTTTAAGAGGTGTTTGGGTTAAACATTTTCTGGCTTTCTCCATTTCAAACTTTGTTTTTATATATGTTATGCACATTTTTGAAATAATTTTGTCTGTAGTGCTGTCTCTTCCACTGTTGTCTCTTTTAATGTATCTCTGCAACTCAAGTAGTTTACTGGAGGGGAGAATGTGCTAGAAGAGGGCCATTTTTCATTCACGGAATAGATTCTTTCATATTTATTCACTCAATTTATGGACTTAGTTTTGAAATATTTCCTTTGTTATTTTGCCATTGCTCTTGTGGTAGAGACATGGTTAGCTACCTGCTTCAAACAGATTGTTGTTGTGCTCTCTGTTTTGTAAAAATGTAACTGCAAGTAATCTACCTATATAATGACCTTCCTGTTCATTATGAGACCCTGCAAACTTAAAATAATTCAAGGTGCCCTGGCCCAATATATATCTTAACCGTGTGCTTTCAGAGATTAATCAAATGTTCAGTGTCCAAAGTCTACCTAGAGCAGTGGTTCTCAACCTGGGGGTCGGGACCCTAAGGCGGGGGTCATGAGAGGGTGTCAGAGGGGTCACCAAAGACCATCAGAAAACACAGTATTTTCTGTTGTTCATGGGGGTTCTGTGTGGGAAGTTTGGCACAATTCTATCGTTGGTGGGGTTCAGAATGCTCTTTGAATGTAGGTGAACTATAAGTCCCAGCAACTGCAAGTCCCAAACGTCAAGCTCTATCTACCCCAAACTCCACCAGTGTTCACATTTGGACATATTGAGTATTGACTCCGCAGTGCTTGCTGGATATAGGTAAACTACAACTCCAACACTCAAGGTAAATGCCCACCAAACCCTTCCAGTATTTTCTGTTGGTCATGGGAGTTCTGTGTGCCAAGTTTGGTTCAATTCCATTGTTGGTGGAGTTCAGAATGTTCTTTGATTGTAGGTGAACTATAAATCCCAGTAACTATAACTCCCAAATGATAAAATAAATCCCCTCCTCCAACCCCATCAGCAGTCAAATTTGGGCATGTGAATGAAATTTGGTCCAGTGAATGAAAATATATCTTGTATATCAGATATTTACATTACAATTCGTAACAGTAGCAAAATTAAAGTTATGAAGTAGCAACAAAAATAGTTTTATGGTTGAGGGTCACCACAACATGAGGAACGTAGCATTAGGAAGGTTGAGAACCACTGACCTAGAGAGTAGGCTGATTTCTGCATCTATGCGCAATGAATTGCTCTGATCTTTTCATGTATTGCTACTGGAGGCTGATCCCTTTCTACATCTGGCATATGGATTATCCAATTATTCCTGGTAATTTACATGCATCTTTTCTGTGAAGCTAGACTCTTTCCATGCAGGAGACAAGGCTAGAAAAGATGACTCATACAGGAAGGGGGCTTCCACTGAAAATGACTAATTCTTACACTTACACTTTTACTACAGTATTTTTAACATAGAGGGACTTCAATTCAGGGCATATAAGGCCTCATCGACACTGCATATAACACAATTTCATAACACTGTTTAACTGCATTATGTTTTCTGCTGCCCTAGAGACTAGGGCAAGGAACAATGGCTTCAAACTACAAGAAAGGAGATTCCATTTGAACATTAGGAGGAACTTCCTGACTGTGGGAGCTGTTCAGCAGTGGAACTCTCTGCCCCGGAGTGTGGTGGAGGCTCCTTCTTTGGAAGCTTTTAAATAGAGGCTAGATGGCCATCTGCCGGGGGTGCTTTGAATGTAATTTTCCTGCTCCTTGGCAGAATGGGGTTGGACTGGATGGCCCATGAGGTCTCTTCCAATAATAAAATAATAATAAAACTTTATTTATACCCCACCACCATCTCCCCAAGGGGACTCGGAGTGGCTTACATGAGGCCAAGCCCAACAACACATCAACAAAAAAAAAGCCCTAAACGGTTCTGGCCCCGCTTACCTCTCCGAACGCATCTCCACCTATGAACCGACTAGAACATTAAGATCGTCTGGGGAGGCCCTGCTCTCGATCCCGCCTGCGTCACAGGCGCGCTTGGCGGGGACGAGAGACAGGGCCTTCTCAGTGGTGGCCCCTCGGCTATGGAATGCCTTGCCGGCAGACATCAGACAGGCACCTTCGTTGCTGACGTTTCAGAGAATGGTCAAGACCTGGCTTTACGAACAAGCGTTTGGCTAAGCAATGCAACCAATCAAGGAAGACGGTAAATGGAACATAGGAACGGCACAACGACTATGAGAACGGATCTGATTTCAACTGAGGCGTTATATATGTTGTTTGTTGATTTGTCCTGTCTGATTGTTAATTGTTGTGGATCGACGTTGTCGATCCTGTTGTTGCATTGTTGTGTTTTAATTGCACTGTAAACCGCATTGAGTCGCCTGTTAAGGGCTGAAAAATGCGGTATAAAAATGAAGCAAATAAATAAATAAATAAATAAACAAAAACAACAAGCAATATGCAAATAAAACAATACAATTAATCTAACTCAATATATAGACAATAACACACAAGGGTTTAAAAACCTATGGCCGGGCCAGATGTAATAGTTTAAAATCTAAAAATAAACGCTGGGCATGAACAGAGGTAGGTAGGATGTATCTAGTAGGAGGGTTTTAAAAGAAATGTAGGGAGAACAACCCAACGGATAGTTAAAGTGCTTCTGAGGACATGGTGCTCAGGGAATTATTTCCTTGGGTTGTTGTAGGTTTTTCGGGCTATATGGCCATGTTCTAGAGGCATTTTCTCCTGACGTTTTGCCTGCATCTATGGCAAGCATCCTCAGAGGTAGTGAGGTCTGTTGGAAGTAGAAAAATGGGTTTATATATCTGTGGAATGACCAGGGTGGGACAAAGGACTCTTGTCTGCTGGAGCTAGGTGTGAATGTTTCAACTGACCACCTTGATTAGCATTTCATGGCTTGGAAGTGCCTGGGGGAATCTTTTTGAGAGGTGATTTGATGTGCCTGATTATTTACTCTCTGTTGTTTTGCTGTTGTAATTTTTGAATTTTTTAATACTGATAGCCAGATTTTATTCATTTTCATGGTTCCTTTATTCCTTTATTCCCTTTATTCAGGGAAGGCACACTGGAACAGCCACGTTTTCAGGCTCCTCCTAAAGACTGCCAATGTGGGGCCTTGCCTGATATCCTTGGGAAGTGAGTTCCAGAGTCGGGGGGCCACCATAGAGAAGGCCCTCTCCCTCATCCCCACCAATCATGCCTGCAAAAGGGGCGGGAGCGAGAGCAGGGCCTCCCCAGATGATCGAAGTGATTGCGTGGGTTCGTACACCAAAATGCGGTCATGTAGATAAGCGGGTCCCAAACCATTCAGGGCTTTGTAGGTAAGAACCTGCACCTTGAATTGGGACTGGAAAAACTCTATGATTCTATGACTCTATGTGGCAGTGTAGATTCAGGTAATGCAGTTCAACTGCATTACAAAACTGCATTATATGGCAGTGCAGATGGGGCCTAGGTGTTTTCCAAAATGCTTGGGAACATGTCTGTGAATGGACCCACTTTAAATCTAGGCCATTGCTTGGCATGGTCTGTAGATGTCAGCAGTAAACTACATCCTATACACAATGCTTAAACAGTAATAGAGACTTGTCTATAAAAATAAAAAGCTGGGGAAGAAAGGAGGGATGCTTGTGCTTGCTGGCTGAAATAAAAAGAGGACGAACAAGATCTCTTTCAGGATTGCAGACTGAAGCATCTCCTCTTTTGTCCAAGGGAAAGGCCTCTTTGCACTAGGCTGGGAAGCATTTCTGGCCGTGGATCCAAAATCCATTGACTGCTTTATAATTATTGGCTTTGTGGATGCATCTCCTCTATGGCAGGTTGCAAAGCTGTTTGCCCACGTTCTTTTCCTAAAGACAGGTTTTAATGACTGGAACCATTAAATGTGATTATGAGGACTAGGGGGCATGAAGAAAATCCTCTTTGCTGCAGAGGTTATAATTTGTTCAGCCGCATAGCTATCAACAAATATGGGCTGGAATTAGTTTGCTAGTCATATCACAAACACCATCAGATCAGACCAAAGGTCAGCCTGGAGCGGCATTCTGTTTCAACTGTAGCCAGACCACACAGACAGTTGTGGAAAACCACAAAGTAAACAGCAATTCACCAGTGTTCATCCACATCTGATATCCAGAGTCATAGTGTCTCTAAACATGGAAGTATCATTTGGGTATGCAAAACATAGAAAGTTGCTTTAAAAAGTAATTGGTTATAGTACTGAGGCCTGAAGAAATTGTGACTAATATGGCTACAACTGTAATAACAAATTCCTTTTAATTCCCACAAAGTGTTGCCTCCAAACACCTGAATTCAGTATAGCACATTCCTGCAGTTTGTGCCACACAATACTCCACCGATTGCAGTTTGCAGGTACAGTTAAGAGTTACCCTACAAGAGGAGTGAAGTCAACCCCTGCTATGTTAAGTGACTTAAATTATACCTTCAGCATTGGAAAAAGGAAGAGGTTAAAAGTAACTTGTTTGTAACTGGCTGCTTCCAAGCTCTGACTGTTGTGTGAAAAGTCTTCAGCAGTGTCTAAGGACCTCATCATATTAAGACCGGGATTTGCCACGCATGATGGCAAATCCGGTGTGGCTCAGCATGGAGCACCCATTGCCACACATCGCCCAACTTTCCTCTCACCCCATCCCACAGAGGGAACAGAAGCTCTCTGAAGCTCTAGGTGTTCCTACTGCCTATTACAGGGAAAACCAGCTGATTCCTAATCCATCTAAAACACAGACATGTGCTTTTCATCTTAAGAACAGACAAGCATCCTGAGCTCTGAGGATTATCTGGGAAGGAATCCCACTGTAGCATTGCAGCACACCCAAATACCTGGGAGTCACTCTGGACCATGCTCTGACCTACAAGAAGCACTGCCTGAACATCAAACAAAAAGTGGGTGCTAGAAACAATATCATACGAAAGCTGATTGGCACAACCTGGGAATCACAACCAGACACAGTGAAGACATCTGCCCTTGCGCTATGCTACTCTGCTGCTGAGTATGCATGCCCAGTGTGGAACACATCTCACCACACTAAAACAGTGGATGTGGCTCTTAATGAGGCATGCCGGATTATCACAGGGTGTCTGTGCCCTACGCCATTGGAGAAACTGCACTGTTTAGCCAGTATTGCACCACCTCACATCCGCTGGGAAGTAACAACCAACAATGAAAGGACCAAGGCAGTGACATCTCTGGCCCACCCCCTGTTTGGGTTTCAGTCAGCACGCCAATGACTTAAATCAAGAAATAGTTTTCTAAGATCTACAGAGACACTCACTGGAACTCGCAGCAAGCGAGAGTCCAAAAGTGGCAGGCTATAACCCAGAACCTCAATCAATGGCTGATACCAAATGAGAGACTCCCTCCTGGGCACACAGAAGACTGGGTGACTTGGAAGGTGCTGAACAGACTGCGCTCTGGCACCATGAGATTTGGGGCCACAAAGTGGAATCCATGACTTGTGAGTGTGGAGAAGAGCAAACCACAGACCACCTACTGCAATGCAACCTGAGCCCTGCCACATGTACAATGGAGGACCTTCTTGCAGCAACACCAGAGGCACTCCAAGTGGCCAGCTACAGGTCAAAGGACATTTAATCAACTACCAAGCCTGCAAACGTTGTGTTTTGTTTGTTTGTTTTTAATGCAATACAACTGTTTTGGTTCACTCCTGATTCGATAAATAAATAAATCCCACAGAGGGAAGCATCTGCCACCTGGCTTCTCCTGTTGTTGCCTATGCAACATGGGAAGCCTCCTGTGTTGCTGCAGTGGCTGCTTATGATGTTCCCTCTTCACTTGCGCCACTGAGCCCCACCGGAAGTAGATCTATGTTGTGGGATGGGAGCTGGTGGGCTCCATGCTGCAAGTGAAGCGGAAGCGTCAAATGATGGGCAATTTTAGTTATTATGGAGGGGAAATGCTGCTCATCCCCAAGCAGGTGGTTGGAAAAAACAGCTTCAGGTTACATACGTGTTGACACGCTGGCTGAGGCAGGTGGACTTCGGGCTTGTTCCTTGAGGGCTACCACATTGACTGTATACTCCTCACCTGGTTTCAGCCCAGTCTGGTTGAACGTTGTCACGCTGCTAGGGAGCTGTGCAATTACACCCCCTTCATTGTCCTGAAAACATAAAAAAGGTGGGTTCAACTTTTGGAAGAAGTGGCAATACCAGTGATACAAATCCTGGCTGTTATTTTCTCTCCTTTTCACATATGGCGGGGATGTTCCGTTTTCATATGCAAGTCAAACAAGCCCAAAGACTTCTCACCCTTTGATTAATTTCTTCAAACATACCCAGTTTGTTGAACATGACTCATTTTTCTTAATCCTTGGGGCCAAACTGCACGTTATGACAGAGATGCATGAATGCATCTTGATCTCGTTAAATATTCAAGTTTAAAGCTATGGTGGGTAACCTAGAGAGGAGTGTCTCAGATGCCATAGTTCCTGGTGGCCTAATTTCAAAATCCTTCTGCAAACTTTCTATTTAAACCCCTGAGAAGCGTGAGTTGTTTCTTTTCTAGCAGCCCAATAGCGGGAAGGTAGTGTGTGTGCGTGCATGAGAGAGAGAGAGAGAGAGCGAAGGGTGGAAGAGAGAAGGGTGAAAAGTCTTTGTGTATGGGAGAGGGGAAACATTTCTGGTTTTGACCCCTCCTAAATGTATTCAAAAGCTTCTTTCCCCGTTTTATTTATTTATTTATTGTGAATCAAGGGCACCAATGAACTGTGGAGTGGATGAAAGTGTCTCTGTGTTTGTGTTTAATGAAACCAATTTTTCCTACAAATGGGCAGTTTGCCATGTTAATCACAACTTTTCCGTGAAAGAACTCAAATGGCATAAAGAGTTTGATTTTTCTCTAGTTTCTGTTCAAAATATAGGCCTACCTCAGTGAACTAAGTCTCTGACAAATACGTTTCTTTTAACTTAGGACCTCATCAGATGGCCCTTTGTAAAAGCAGGGGACAATGGGGGGAATTGTGTGGCAGCTTAGGAAACCATCACACTGTGTTCCCTATCATTGGGGTCCATATCATCCCTTCCCATCATGTTTCCCCACTGTCACCCACTTCCTCTTCGGCTCCTCTGTGTTTTTTCTAAGAGACAGGTGTACACCTGACTCTTCTTGACTCTGTTTCTCTCCTCTGCTGGAATGCTTCTCTGCCTTCATCTGATGAGGTTAAAGTATTTATTTATTTTTTTAGAACTTTTATATCCTGTTCTTCTCACCTCCGTGGAGGGACTCAGAATGGCTAACAGCAAGAATTCAAGGCAACAATAAATAACATTTAAACAACATCCATAAAACAATAGGTTAAAATGCATATAAAATTACAATACATATAAAACCATTCGCCAAGTTAAAAACGTCCAACTCAGTCCGCACATTGTGGTCAATAATGAAGTCTTTACTGGTCTCCATTGTCACTCTGCAAATGCCTGATTCCACAGTCAGGATTTCACTTGCTTCCTGAAGGATAGGAGGGAGGTGGCAGACCTGACTTCATTCAGGAGAGAGTTCCATAGCCAGGGGGCCACCATGGAGAAGGCCCTGTCTCCCAGTCCTTCTACTTTTCGCAGTCGCGTCTGGTGGGAACTCTCCAGAAGATCTTAATGCCCTTGATGGTTTATAGGGGAGAATACGTTCGGACAGGTAAACTGGGCTTTGCAAGTTAAAACCAGCACTTTGATTTGTGCTCGGAAGCTAATTGGAAGCCAGTGGAGCTGGTGCAACAAGGGAGTTGTGTGCTGCCTGTGCCCAGCTCCCGTGAGCAACCTGGCTGCCGAGCTTTGGACTAGTTGCAGCTTCTGGGCAGTCTTCAGAGGCAACCCCACGTAGAGTGCATTGTAGTAGTCTATTCGGGATGTAACCAGAGTGTGGACCACCGTGGCCCAAGCTTTAATTGTTTTTTTAATGTTTGCCATCCCCTCTTTTTTCCCTGAGAGGAAGTGGTCACCAAATGAGTTCCATGGCTAATAGGATTTGATCATGGTCAATCTCAGGCCCCATCTATATTGCCACATAATGCAGTTTAATTGCATTATATGGCAGCATAGACTCACATAAGACAGTTCAATGCAATTAAACTGCATTATGAAACTGCACTGTGTGGCAATGTAGTTGGGGCCTCAATCTTTGCTAGGTGAGAGATTGCAGGTTACACCCTATCCCTACCTGTGGATGCAATCATCCTGACTAAGCAGCCACTGATCTTGTATGAGCTGTACTGGTTCAGAACAACTTCTACAACATATCCTTGTATGGTCAGGTAGAATCTGAAGCTTTCTTCCTTCACTCCCTCCCTCCCTCTGTCCATCCATCTGTCTTTCTTTGCATTTTAACAGACCGAAGTGGACGAGCATTTCCTGGATGGGGTTTTACTTCCCCTGAAGGAAGCAGGTGCATAACTCGGGAGTGTTTCATCCTTGTCACTGGTGGCCCAAATGGATTGTGTGTGTCGGAATGCCTGGTGCTTCTTTGACTGTTGAGCCAGTTACAGTATTTCCTAGACAGAGATAGCCACTCACAGTAGCTGGTAGCCTCCTTATTCATCCAACAGTAATGCCTAGTATTTCTTTGACTGGTGAGCCAGCTACAGTCTTTCCTGGACTGAGATAGCCCAGCCATAGTAGCTGGTAGCCTCTTTATTCAGCCAACAGTAATATGCTTTATGAAGGGCTGTGTTTGAGGAATACTTAAACACTAGATAGTTTAAAATGTAGCAACTCAGTTGCTAACTGGAATGCCAAAGGGAGAGCATATCATGCCAGTGGGGCATGGGAAAGGGCTTTCTCAGCCATGGTGCCCCAACTCTGGAAGGTCCTTTCTCTGGAGGCCTCCTCTGGCAGCAACACTCACATCATGTAGGTATCTAGTAATAAAAACCTAACTGTTCATGAAAACTTTTGTGCCTCATTAACTAATACAGTGTATTTCACAAAAAGGGTTTTAAAAATAAATACTTAACATCTGTTTTAAAATTAGTTTGTAATTTAATATGTTTTTAATATATTGAATTTATTGTTTTAAATCATGTAACACATTTTAATGGTTTTGTAAGCTACCCTATGATCTTTGGTATAGGACAGGGCATAGGTAAAGGTAAAGGCAAAGGTTTTCCCCTGACATTAAGTCCAGTCATGTCCGACTCTGGGGGATGGTGCTCATTTCCATTTCTAAGCAGAAGAGCCGGCGTTGTTCGTAGACATCACCAAGATCATGTGGCCGGCATGACTGCATGGAGCGCCGTTACCTTCCTGCCAGAGCGGTACCTATTGATCTACTCATATTTGCATGTTTACTAACTGCTGAGTTGGCAGAAGCTGGGGCTAACACTGGGAACTCTCGCTGCTTCCCGGATTCGAACCGATGACCTTTTGGTCAGCAAGTTCAGCAGCTCAGCACTTAACCCACCAGGGGTCTATATGACAGGGCATAAATAACACAAATAGCTGACTATTTTCTCATGGTCAGGTGGCATTCACATATCTAAGTGCAAGAGACATGTGGGTATTGACTGGCACAGAAGGAAGTTGGTATATTTGTGTTACTAGCTCACTTCTGCTTTTGCTGCCTCTCTATAATATTCCAAATAGTGTTGCCAACTTTTCAGTCTGTTCCTGCAGCTATGCCATTTAATACTATCTTGATATGCCAATATTAATGGAGTTAAAGTCCATCCCCTACTACTCAGATGGCTCTTAAAGTTGGAAGAGATGGCCAAAGTAATCTTCTAGCCATTTGGGAATGCTACCCTGCCCTTGGCACCAAGTTATTAGTGTATTCTACCATTCCTATCAGAATATAAAATTGATATATCTTTTCCCATTCTTACAAATTGGTTCCATTAATTGCAATTGGGTATGCATTTTACTGAATACTCGGGTAGGATTTGCATTATAATTTGTTCTTTGTAAAGTGTCTTATCTAGCAAGAACGTATCTTGGATTTTGAAGAGAATGCTATCTTGAGTCCTACAGAAGAGAAAGGAGTGTAAGAGAAAATGCCAAATGAACAAGTAATCAACATCCCATTCTCCAGCCATTTAAAAACCATTGCAAAAGTCAAGTTGCCTTCATCAGAGTCTCATCCTCTTGATTTTGCTTGCTTTTCAGTCTTAAAACTACGGCTAATATTGTAGTAGGGTTTCACATATCTATGGGCTTGTCTGTACGAGCAAAGCAATCTGGACTCACTACAAATTCACAGTGAATGTGCAAATAGCACCACAGTGGCAGCCAATCATAATGTTGCCACAAACTCCTACCTACATCCTCCCTACGTCCGCCGCAAACACTCTCTTTTATTATATATACAGATTAGTACTTCAATGGGAAGTGTGGGTCTGCTTTTGGCTGACAAGATAAGATTGTTGTTGTGTGCTTTCAAGTCATTTCAGACTTAGGTTGACCCTGAGCGAGGGCCAGGTAAATGACCTTGGAGGACTGTATCCGGCCCTCGGGCCTTAGTTTGAGGACCCCTGACCTATAGCATCAGCCCATGTTTCCTCACTGCAAACCAAACAGGTCTTGTCTAAAAGTTTTATACAGTGGAAATTCCATGTAGTATGCTTAATAAGTAACTGTGTTTCTAAATTTTATTTTCATTTAACACATTACTTGAATTTATGGGATGTACTGGCTTTATGCATGAGTATAATTGCATGAATTGCAGTAGCCAAAGCCAGCACTCATGTACCGTTTGTCTTCTCTTAATTGTAACATGCAATGAAGGGAAACACAAAGGTCTATTCTCACCTCACAATGGGTACAAAACTACCCAGTGTGGTAAAGATCCAGGCCTATCAATTTAGCCTGACAGTGATAGTTTTAATTCACTATTTTTTCTAGAGACTGCAGAGGATGTTTTTGTCCTCCAATTTTATTTCAGTATATGTTTTTTTTTTAAATAAAGAACTGATTGGATCTCTGCACGTAAATATAATTGTAGCATCGGCTTGTCTAATGCATAGTGGAAATGCACTCTTTTGGGAAAGGTCAGCCAGGATTCCAATTATAATTTTTATAAAGACATTCCAATACTAGCCATTTTCAATGCCTTTCCAAATGATCCTTCACACCGCATTTGCTATTTTTGCTGCCATCCCATAGTAGAAAAAAAGAAGTGATAATGGCAATTCGTGTAATGAAAGCATCAGTTGGAGTTACTATTGTGGGGTAGCCTGAAGTAGCCCTGGTTTTTCAATCTTATGTTAGAGTTAGGCAGATAAATGTATTCTTAGCGATAAGAAGAAGAAGAAGTCTAAATGACTGAGCGGTGCCTGCAGCCTGCATGCTCACACATTCATTTTACCCTGCCTACTTACTATTCACTCAGATAAAAGAGACTTGTGTAGAACTTCCACGAGCTCCAAAAACCGATGATCAATGAGGGCAGAGGGATTTAAAAACCATGTTAGGAAGTTTATAGAATTTATTATTTTTAGTCTTTCCTCATTTCTTTTTCCATACCATCCAAACTTAAAATTTATACTGTAAGCCCTTTTTGCAACAAAAAGCAGGTACTGAATAAATTTCTGTAAGCCATCCTGGATTCACATGGTAAGATGGAATATAAAGATAACTTTTAGCAGTAATTTCGAACGTGTCTAATAGTTGCAAAGGAGATGGACATGCTTGCATAGAAAAAAATATGTAACAAATGTATTAAATGAATAAAATGAACATGTAATCCCAGGGGCAAGGATTCTTCAGTCTAGCACTAATTCATCTGACCATGTTTACTGTTTTATGGGAGTAAAAACCACCATGTTAACAAACTGTGCTAAAAATATTTCCTCATAATTTAACTCTCCTAGGAGGCTTGTGCTGCTATCGTGTAAGTACTGAAATTCTTCACAAATGCATTATGGGTAGGTAAACTGAATAATTCTTGTACTCACTATTGCTAACAATGCAATGTCCAAAATTCATGATATTTAAAATTACAACAGCAAAACAACAGAGAGGAAACAACCAGACACATCTTAACACCTCTCAACAAAAGATTTTCCCAGGCTCAGGCAGGCCTTCACATGCTAATGAAGGTGGTCAGTTGAAACATTCACACCTAGCTCTAGTAGAGAAGAGCTCTTTGCCCCACCCCAGCCATTCCACAGATATATAAACCCATTGTCCTATTTCCAACAGACCTCACTACCTCTGATGATGCTTGCCATAGATGCAGGCGAAACGTCAGGAGAAATGCCTCTAGAACATGGCCCTATAGCCCAAAAAAGCCCACAAGAACTTAGTGATTCCAGCCATGAAAGCCTTCGACAATACATTCATGATATTTATTTACAGTATTTATATTCCGCCCTTCTCACCCCGCAGGGGACTCAGGGCAGATTACAATGTACATATACATGGCAAACATTCAGTGCCATAGACACATAACATGTATAGACAGTAGGCATGTGCAATCCATGGTTCTAAATGGTTCTAAAGTACTTACAAAACTAAAGTTCTGGTGGTGAATACTAGGGGGCACTGGTACTTTGCTTCTACAGTGTTGCTAAAGTCCTGGTGGTGAAACTTTCAGAACTCTTAACACAACTTTCAAAATTTCATTATAAATGGCAGTTCCTAATAGGTTCTGTCAGAAAAATCACCAAAAATGAAATAATAATGAAATTTTGAAAGTTTTGTTAGCGTTGTGAAATTTTCACCACCAGAACTTTAGGCAACACTGTAGAAGCAAAGCAACAGCACCCCCTAGTTTTCACAACCAGAACTTTAGTTTTGTAAGTACTTTAGAACCATGGATTGCATATGCCTAATCGACATACACAGAGGTAATTTTTTCCAGCTTTTCTTGAGGGTATTTTGGCCACCAGAGGAGCTGTCCCTTCACCAATCATTTGTGACACTGATGAGGAACTTCCTCATTCTTTGCATGCTTGCTGGAGATTTTTATGGCCTCGTAAATTAGTTAAATTTGCCTCCCCGCATAAACGGTACCTAAATTTCCTACTTGACAGATGCAACTGTCTTTCAGGCTACAAAGGTCGACAGAAAGCTACACAAAATTGGTCGGAAGCTCACTCCGGCCCACGCTGGCTTCGAACTCATGATCTTTTGGTCAGTAGTGATCTTAATGCAGCTGACTACCAGCCAGCTGCACTACAGTCCCGATATTAGATTCACCCTGATAGGCAGGATGAAAAGGCTATTTGGTCAAGCCATAGTCACCAAGTTCAACCAGCAGCCCACCAAACGTCCATATATTAAGTCATGCTATCTAAACCACACAAGTACCACACTCAGATTACTTTTTCTAACATGGGAACTTCTGCTTGTCAACCTCTGAACTTTTCTATATCCAACTGATATGAATGATGCTGCTATTGGCCAAGGCAGCTTTCATAAGCCTCTGGCAATCAAGTAGGTAGTAGTGCTTTGTTAGCCTGAAACATTATTGCCTGCTTCTCTTGGACCCCAAATGTTGAGTAGAGAGGAGAGCTCAATACCACATTGTTACCTTGGGGATGAAGCTGATCTCCCAGCCATCAAACAAGAATGAGAAGGGCTTCCACTGCATCTCCACGGTGGTCTCTGTGATTGTTTTGAACTTTAGCCCTTCTGGAGTAGACAGTTCTGGAACAGAGTGATGAAGAAGGGAATGAGGTTAGGTGGACTTCAGATGCCAACACATAACCAATATAACAAGCAAGTAGAGCAGTGGTTCTCAACCTGGGGTCCCCAGATTTTTTGGCCTACAATTCCCAGAAATCCCAACCAGTTTACCAGCTGTTAGGATTTCTGGGAGTTGAAGGCCAAAAACATCTGGGGACCCCAGGTTGAGAACCACTGAAGTAGAGTATACTAAGCAAAATCCACACATGTTGAATACATTGAGGATATCTACTCTAGTTTTAGTATTTGTTAGCTCTCTGCTGTTCAGGACTCAGGGAATAATCTTCTGTCTCAAGTAAGATGCCAGTTACAGAAGACATGACTAAAGTGAGAGTCAAACCATAAGCTTCTCCACAAGAAAGAATGAGAACATGAATCTTTGTTCTGTAAGGGAAAATGCAGCACTTTCCAATCAAGTGATGTCCTGGAACTGCCTTGAAAGTCCTCTGTGATGGGTTGTCACATACTAGTTAGACAGGGGTCACCAGAATGTAACACTCCCAGTGTTGCTGGTGTAGAACTCTCAAATGTCCACCAGCCAGCATGATCAATCATAAAAAATACTGGGAGTCAACTACTTCCTGAAGGCAGAAATTAATGAAGCTTCTTTTGACCCTGGAGACAACGTAACTCCCAGTGGTTCAGAATAAATGGAATGTCCTAATTGTAAAAGCTGTTGGTGTCCTACTTCTGCTGCTGCACACTTGGTTTCACTGAGTAGTAACGATTTCAAAGCAACCATGGCTAATAGCCACCACATCCTTTTTCTGAGCTGTGATAGACTGTCCAACACAAGAAGGTTTTTAAGGATGGGCACAAGACCTCTTTATATGTGACATACAGCAAGCCAAGGTGGATCAAACAAAGAGTGGATCAAACAAAGACCTATCTAGACTTGATCTTTATGCAACACAGAAAGCTTTCCATGTTGCTCTCTTTTACCATGGAGCCCCGCTGGAAGTAGCTGTGCGTTGTGGGATGGGAGTTGGCGGGCTCTGTGGCAAAAGGGAACGGGAATCAGTGTATGCCGCTAAATTCAATCCCATCTGATGAGGTTGTATGGGTGCAATCAGGCCCATAGCTAGGATTTTGATTTGGGGGGGGGGGGGTTCAGGATCTATCCTAGCAAAGCTTTTGTATCATTAGCCCAATACCCCCATGCATATGGGATATAATGAGCATGGTGATCAGATCAATGATATGAATAAACATACCATATATACTCGAGTATAAGCCGACCCGAATATAAGCCGAGTATAACTCGAGTAAAAGCCGAGGATGGGAAATTAACAGATACTGGTAAATTTCAAAATAAAAATAGATACCAATTAAATTATATTAATTGAGGCATCAGGAGGTTAAATGTTTTTGAATATTTACATAAAACTGTATTTTTTACATAAAACTTGCATACCCTTCCAATAAAAATAGAGTAAAATAATAAATGTAATAACAACAACAATAATAAATAGAGTAAAATAATAAATGTAATAATAACAACAATAATAAAGTAAAATAGTAATAATGTAATAATAATAATAATAATAATACATTTATTACGTATTTATAACAAAGTAAAATAATAAATAACCTTGACTCGAGTATAAGCCGAGAGGGACTTTTTCAGCCCCCCAAAAGTCTGAAAAACTAGGCTTATACTCAAGTATATACAGTAATAGTTTAAATAATGTACCAGTAAGGCCATCTTGAGGACCACCCTGATAATTTCGGGGGGAGTGGGGGCTGAAGCCTCTCAAGCTCTCCCCCCGCCCCCCGGCTACATGCCTGGGTGCAATAGTGCTTTTACTCATGTTGTGCAGAAACTAATTTTTAGAAGCGTAACATATTACACACTGGACAGACTACATGGGTATTAGGACTAAGAGTCATTGATAGTCATATCTTCCATGAACTTTCAAATCCTCTTTAAAAATAATTCAAGTTGATAGGTACTATCAGTACTTCCTATAGTAAAGATTCTCATAGTTTAATGGTATAGTGCACAGAGTGTTGAAAAATTAATTTGTCCATAATTTCCCACCATCCATTGTATGTGGGTGTTATTGGGTTCTGTTATCATGAGAGAGGAAGAGAGAAAGAGAAATCTCCCTGTCCACTTTCTTTGTTCCATGTATAATCTCCATACCTTCATCTTGTCTTCTGTTACTAGCATCTTTTTGTCCTAAACTGAAAAAAACCTTGATTGCTTTGGTTGGCCTTTTGGTACTTTTTCCAGATTTATAAATACAATTTTTAGAGTCAGTGACCATGACTGTGCACAGTAATTCCAGATGGGATTGCCTGTAGATTTCTATTAGGATAATATGATACTGGGGATTTTGCTTTATATTATTTTCTAACTTTCCTAAATGCGATCAACAAGGAATTTGTTTCTTGCCTGCCCACAACAGTCACATACTGTTTTTTTCCCCACCGAAAATATTTTTTGATAGACTTCAATAACCCATCTTGGCTCCCTAATGAGTATACACATAATTGTATATTCAAGACTTCCCCGCCTGTGTTTATACTTTACATTTTCAAACATATGCTTAAAACCTCTCAAGTGTAATGTGTGAATCTGCTCTGAGAATGGAAGCCATTGTCTGCTTTTGTGTTGGCTTAATTGAGTGAACTGAACAGATGTCAGCTGAGACCCCTTTCTGCTACCTTGCCAGCAATTCTTCCCAGCGAGGAAATTTAGGGACAAAAAGGTACTGGGAATTCTAAGGTGCAACCAAAAGCAAAACAAATTGCATGCTGCTGACCTCCTGCTGCCTCCGCTCTGGTTTATCCAGTTGAAAACTTGCTTCAATAATGAAGAAATTTTCAAGCCTGTTGAGTCACAAGAGATATCTCCAGTCTTTGCATAGGGAAGGTATTTTAAAAAGCTTGGAGATGCCAGCTTTCCAACCAACCCCTAAGGCTGTGTCTTCTTCAACAGCAGCTTGATGTGTATTTAGATTGCAGAGAAGGCAATGCTTGTCACAATACCTGGGAAAGATTTATTGCAGCATAACCTGCTGTTAAAGCCACAGTTGGCACCCCTATCTATGCCGCACAAAACATCTGGCATCTTCTAGCATTGGCTTTGAGGGGATCTAAATTTCACCTACTTCCCATAGTAAATTATTATTCATTTTGCTTATTTACATCTCAACTTTGTCTCAGCCCCAGGACCAGAAAGCTAACTAAATTAAAACAGATACAGATCAGTAAAACATAAGGAGGTAAGATAAATAAACTGTCACAACACATTTAAAAGCAATGTTGAAAACAAATCTATTTCATAGGGCTGTCCAAACACGGAAAAATTTGTTTCTAAACTCAATTCGTTTTTAGGGGTTTTTTTGCGTTTCGTTATTTAAAAGAATTCCGAAATTTTCCTTTAAAAAAGTTTGATATTTACAAAATTTCGGAAATCATAAAACAATTACAAATCAATAACGAATCAATAACGAAACAAATTGGAAAAATTCGTTTCGTTGTTTTAGTTGCTCCTGAATGGTTCAATATCGCTTCGTTATAAAAAAAAATAACGAATTTTTAACGAATTACGAAATTACGAAACGAAACCACCCAGCCCTACTATTTCAATAACGCAGCAAAGTTATTCTAAGTCCTTTCTCCATAAACAACCAGCATTCTGAGCCCTATCAAAATAAAGTCTTCACCATCTAATAATAATAATAATAATAATAATAATAATAATAATAATAAATTATAAAAGTTATTAAAATAATTATTAAAATTATTAAAAATTATAAAAATTATTAAAAGCTCTGGGACTTCCAAATTCAGACTGACAGAGTTTTGGAGCACAGTACTCCTAACCTCACTATCATGTTCGAATGTGGATTGTCAATGTTGCAATCCCAGGCAACAGCAGGATTGAAGAGAAACAACTGGAAAACCTGACACGATATGAGGATTTAAAAATCAAATTGCAAAGACTCTGGCACAAGCCAGTAAAGTGCTGTTTTAATTAAATTGTTTTATACAAATTGGGTTTTTGTTTGGTTCATCTCTGCCTCTGTAAAGGCAGAGCCCTGGCAATGTGACACCAAGTCAGACTTCCATGCCCATGCCCATCCCCATCTCTGGTGAACCGGCTTTGGCATAGCTGGACTATCGGGCCAATGTTCCACTGCCAAGGTGGCTCACTTCACTTCTGTGTGGCCTCAATGAATCTTGGAATCTGCAATTTTCATGTCGATGCCCTACCGCATTATACATCTGTGTGGGAGGACCATGAGAGGGAGAAGAATTCCCTCATCGCAGGGTTGGCTTTGATGGGAGAGGAGAAAAGAGTTATGAAGCAAAAGAGAAAGGAACGATTTTGCAACCACTAAAAATGTAATTGAGAAAACGTTGTTCACTCCCATGTCTCAAACCCTGCTGAGAGATTTGGCTGAATTCAGTGAAACATTTAGTTCTTTTTCCATCCCCACCAGTATTTCTCTTGAGTAGAGCCTTCCAAATGGACTTTAGCAAAAATCTTGCTGACAACCAAGACGGAAGCACAAAAGCTTACCATCTACCAGTGCCGCCCAGCAAACTGAACTGCCTAGAGGGTTCTCTTGATTGATGGGCTCCTTTTTTCCAAATAAACCAGAATCCCTTCATCCATGCAAGTGAAGATGCAGACTGCTTTTCAGCAATTCCTCTTCAACTCGCCGGCTCATTACAGATCACATATTATTATTTCTCAGGAGTACATCTGTCTCTGATTATTTATGAGCTGAAACGTGTCCATAATAAATGATCTTCAAACACACTGCCCCACTACTTTTTTGAATTTTAGTCCCGAGCTGCCCTCTATATAACTGTGAATCTTTGTCTCTGACCCACAAAATCTCCTTGCCCCTGTGGGCCAACTTTTTCATCAGCTCAACGCCTGAAATGGCATGTCCCAGTGCAGAGTAATCATGCAATACGTACGTGTGGCCACTTTGACGCTGACAGGGACACTGAGCACTTCACTGATAACAGCAAATATGCTGATGTTGTAGATTAGGCCTGGCTCCAACTCCTTGATACTGACAGCGCTCCAGTCACCAGGGACCCGTTGCTGGAGCTGTAGGCCTGGAGATACTGCCGGCTGGTAGGAAACCACATATTCGGTCACTGCCATTGGGCCATCCCATTCAAGGTCAACTGACCGGTCGCTGATTGCAGCCACACGCAGACTCTCAGGTGGAGCAACTATAGGAAGAGGCAGGAATCAAAGCATAAGGTAAAGAGATGAACCAATATCACAAAAGAAAAACCCAAGCAATATGTCACTGAGACATTTCCTGTATCTCTAAGCACATCAGAATTATACAGTTGGAAGAGATGCCAAGGGTCATCCAGTCTAGCCCCCTGCCACACAGGAATACACAATCAAAACAATCCTCATAGATAGGCATCCAGCCACTTTTTAAAAAAATCTGGAGAAAAAAGATTTCATCATACTCTGAAGCAGTGTATTCTCCTGCCATACAGCTCTGACCATCAGGAAGTTCTTCCTAATGTTTAATTTTTATTATTTTATTTTGAACACTTGTACCCCACCCTTCTCAACCCCGGGGGGGGGGGCCTCAGGACAGCTTCCAATCGGCACCTATTTGATGCCACAATAGATACATAATAAAATACATAATAAACAAGCAATCCATTGGGTTGTTGTAGGTTTTTTCGAGCTATATGGCCATGGTCTAGAGGCATTCTCTCCTGACGTTTCGCCTGCATCTATGGCAAGCATCCTCAGAGGTAGTAAGGTCTGTTGGAACTAGGAAAAAGGGTTTATATATCTATGGAATGACCAGGGTGAGACAAAGGACTCTTGCCTGCTGGAGCTAGGTGTGAATGTTTCAACTGACCACCTTGATTAGCATATAATGGCCTGACAGTGCCTAGAGCGACCTTTTGTTGAAAGGTAATTAGATGTCCTTGTTTGTTTCCTCTCTGTTGTTGTGCTGTTGTAATTTTAGAGTATTTTAATACTGGTACATGCAGCTGTGGACAAGTCTACATAGGGACCACCAAACGCAGCATTGCCCAAACACGAATCAAGGAACATGAAAGGCACTGCAGACTACTTCAACAGAGAAATCAGCCATAGCAGAGCACCTGATGAACCAACCTGGACACAGCATTTTATTTGAGAACACATAAGTGCTGGACCACTCTCACAACCTGAGACTACACAGAGAAGCCATTGAAATACACAAGCATGTGGACAATTTCAACAGAAAGGAGGAAACCATGAAAATGAACAAAATCTGGCTACCAGTATTAAAAAACTCTAAAATTACAACAGCACAACAACAGAGAGGAAACAAACAAGGACTTCTAATTACCTTTCAACAAAAGCTTGCTCTAGGCACTGTCAGGCCATTATATGCTAATCAAGGTGGTCAGTTGAAACATTCACACCTAGCTCCAGCAGACAAGAGTCCTTTGTCTCACCCTGGTCATTCCACAGATATATAAACCCCTTTTCCTAGTTCCAACAGACCTCACTACCTCTGAGGATGCTTGCCATAGATGCAGGCGAAACGTCAGGAGAGAATGCCTCTAGACCATGGCCATGTAGCCCGAAAAAACAACCCAGTGATTCCGGCCATGAAAGCCTTCGACAAAGCAATCAATGATAAATAGTTAAAAACAGTAAATAATACAATTAAAAACTACTAAGAATTACCACTTTAGTGGCCATTATTAGCCAAAAACTAGTTGAATGCTCCATCAAACTTATCCACAATCCATTTCTAAGCCATTGTCAATATTGTTATTGTCACTGTCCACTTAATTACCTGAAGGCCTGGTCCCACATCCAGGTTTTTAACTTTTTTGTAAAGGTGAGGAGGGATGTAGATGATCTAATTTCCCCGGGGAGTGAGTTCCAAAGGTGGGGCGGGGGGCCACCACCGAGAAGGCCCTGTCCCTCATCCCAGCCAAGAGTGTTGAGACAGAGGCGGGGCTGAGAGCAGGGCCTCCCCAGAGGATCTTAAACTCTGAGGTGGGACATAAATGGAGATATGTTCGGACAGTTATGCTGGACCGGAGCCATATAGGGAATCTCTTTCTCTAGAGTTTGAATCCACTGCTCTGCATCCTAGGCAGTGTCTACACTTATCCAAATAAGTTGGGTTAAAGTACTCTGGAGCAGTTCCAATGTAGCCTGGGAATGACACCAGAGATTTTTGGTAATTCTCACATGGGCAGGTGGATGGAGCATTGCTTGTGCCTTCACAGTCCTGGCCACATAGCTGGGCACCTTGGTGTAACATCACCAGTAACGCGGTATCCACAGAAAGCTCCTTGTCGTCAGTGATGCAGCGGTGGGTTCATTGGAGGTGTAGACAGTGGTTTGGGTCAGATCCAACAACCCAGGTGACCACACCTTCAAAACACCAGTATCGCTTAGTAGCTTTCTGGAAACTCCCATGTCTTTTTGATCTGAATGAATGGCAAGATGCAATGCTTCTTCAGTGAATCTAGTAGTCTGCCATCTATAAGTTTCAATTAATGTATTGGGATCTATTTCTAAGTAAACATAAAGCATAAAATATACGATTTGATGCTTGACAGTGTAACCAATCTGGATTTCCCACTAAGGGAGCTGAGGTTGACCTCTTTTCTTAACTAATGTATTGAATACTCTATATATTTTTAACCATTTTTGTCATCATTACATTTCACATTTTGGGATAAATTCCCCACTCTCCTGAAATGCTCCTCCCCCCTCAGTTTCTCTCCCCACAAATAAGATATGGAACTAAATTCAGATTTTTGTATAAAGAAAATGTTATCTATATGTGGTTGCAAGAAATGCAGAAACAACACGACTGTGATTTGGAAAAGTATTTGCATCAAAAACTGAATTTAAGAAGGACATGTTGAAATAAGTGAACTTTATCTCTTTGGAAAAACATTTGGCACAACAAGGATTAGTTTTAATAAGTGATGGGCATTGGGGATGATACAATCCTGTACTGTAAATAATAAGATGAAAGAGAATTGCCTTTCTTGATTCTGCCTTTCACATGCAGGAGAGCAAATATCAAAATGTCATTGTCAACTTTGAAGACTACAGGTTATTTAATTAGCCAGAACAAATTACTCTTGTGACAATAAACTCCAACCCATGCCACTTCTTTGCTCATGGCATTGACTCTCATAATAATATTCTCATTAGGGAAGAGAAACGATCCCATTGTTACTTTTGCAGAATACATTTTTACTCTAACATGGACCCTCAAAATGACTTAGATCTTTTGAAGCCTCTGGAGTTCTCTTTGTGCTCACTAACATTGTCATTTCTGTGACAGGTAGAGTCCTTTGCTTCTAGGGGTCCTTATGGAGTGAATAAAATGAAAGCACATGCGACTACATACTATGCGCCTACTCAGCAATAGGCTCACTGAATTGTGCAAGACTCTACAATGATGAAAAGATACTGATTTACAAGTACATTGTACCAGCCTCTTTGGATTTCTTACTACTACTACTACTACTATTTATTTATTATTATTATTATTATGAACCCCCGGTGGCGCAGTGGGTTAAACCCCTGTGCCGACAGCACTGAAGACCGACAGGTCGCAGGTTCAAATCTGGGGAGAGGCGGATGAGCTCCCTCTATCAGCTCCAGCTCCTCATGCGGGGACATGAGGGAAGCCTCCCACAAGGATGATAAAAAAATCAAATCATCCAGGTGTCCCCTGGGCAACGTCCTTGCAGATGGCCAATTCTCTCACACCAGAAGCGACTTGCAGTTTCTCAAGTGGCTCCTGACATGACAAATTATTATTATTATTATTATTATTATTCGCTGATACATCACACAGCCTTAGACACTTGGGAAGTGTCCAACGTGTGATTGAATACAAAAGCCAGCATAGTGGTCTTGTTTTCGGTGTACTAATCTTGTTATGTATCTAATAATAATAATAATAATAATAATAATAATAATAATAATAATAACAATAATATAATAATAATAGCATTACCCACCTCTCCCCGTGTCTCAAGGTGGGATACAATGTTATTAAAACAAGAGATAAAACACTATTAAAAGACATACAACACTTATCCTATATTATTTGAGAACACAGAAATGCTGGACTACTCTAACAACCACCATGTCGCACTACACAGAGAAGCCATTTAAAATAAGCATGAAATCCATAAGCACGGTTTCTTCTTTTCAACAGAAAGGAAGAAACCATGAACATGAACAAAATCTGGCTACCAGTGTTAAAAAAACTTTAAAATAATAATAGTAAATAACACTCAAAAATGGGAATTACAGATATGAAACAATTAGGGCCAGCTAATCACCTCCCAACAAAGGAATCCCTCAGGCAATAAGAAGCCAGACCTTGAAAACTGCTAGGCCATTAAATGCTAATAAAGGCGGCCAATTGCTACATTCACACCTACCTCAAATAGACAAGAATTCTTTTCCCCACCCTGGACATTCCACAGATATATAACCCCATTTTCCTACTTTCCGACAGACCTCACAACCTCTGAGGATGCCTGTCATAGATGCAGGCGAAATGTGAGAATGCTTCTGGAACATGGCCATTGAGCCTGGAAAACACACAACAACCCAGTGATTCCAGCCATGAAAGCCTTCGACAATACACCTATCCTGTTGTCTTGCAGTAATGGAAACATGCTGGTGACATACCAGTATGAAAACAATCAGTACAACATCTGTCTGCAATCATACTATTATGCCACTGTTTTGTTTTTGTTTCTCTTCTCCTGGTTCTCTTTTCCCCTCATATATATCTCCTACTGCATTCTCCCTTTTCTATAGGCTTGGCAAACTGCGTCTACTTGTTGAGAGATGCTATAATCAGCAAGAAAGAAAACATGGACAATTACTACTATACTGCAGCGAGAATTGTCTGTGTCCAGAAATGGAAAGAACCAGCTATTTCAACACAAGAAGAATGGCTGATGAAAATGTGAGAGATGGACAATATGACAACATTGATCAAGGAGAAATCCTTGACTAATTTTAAGAAAGAGTGGAACTCATTTATCATTTTCCTACAGCAAAGATGGGGCAAACGTCAACTACTGAATTTCTGATTTAGACGAGTGTTATAAAAATTGTTGTTGTTCATTCGTTCAGTCGTCTCCGACTCTTCGTGACCTCATGGACCAGCCCACGCCAGAGCTCCCTGTCGGCCGTTACCACC